TACTTGTTCTGGAATGGCTTCCCATGTGGAGGGTCTATTGTGAAATACAGGTGATTTTTTTTTCTTTTGTTCTTTCTACTTCCTTCCATTACAGAAGTATTATATCTCTTTAGAAGTACACAGTATTCCCAAACAGAATTTATTGCTATTTCTGAATAGTGTCCTGTTGAGTGGCTGGTGACAGCCACAATAGCTAATCTGACATCATTTCCTTGTGTAGTCAAGAACTTGAATCTGTGTATTTTTTACTTCACACACCTGTATTTAAGAAGATGACGTGTACACAAGCTGTTCAGTGCTCAAACCTTCAGAAAGCTGGAAGATACTAACTTTGTGTAAAGTCTTCAGAGGTTGTAGACACTAAAACCAAAGATGACTGCTGAGCACGTGTGTGACGTCTTTTAAGCTAAAGGCTTATAATTTGGACAGATATATCCCTGATACAAACCCTGCTGCATCCCTGCCAAATTTCAAGTCTGATGTTTTAGAACAGAGCTATTCAAAGCAAATGCTTCCAGATTTTGTTTGCACAGCCATTTTTTTTTCTTGAGTTCAAAACCACCTGAAACAGCGGTTTCTTTTTTTTTCTTCCCTCCCCCCCAGCCTTTTAATTTCATCCAGTGTGTGGTAGGAACCAAACCCTCCAGCCCAGTCTCAAAGTAAAGTTTGGCAAAGCTGTGTCAGCTGAAGATAGCTTCTATATGAGGGTTTCTTAAGCTTCCCTATATAAGGAAGGCTGACTGCACCACCTGTTAAAACATTAATAATACTGTAAGTTGTTAGGAGAAGCAGCTCACAGGTTGACGGTTCGGGACCCTGGACCCCAGCACTGCTGGAGTTACTCTGCAGGTTGCTTTCTGAACGTTGTCGCCACAACCTGTCCCCTTCGTGTGCTCCCAAACGCGTGGTTCACGTGCAGCAGGAGTGCGTAACCCAGTCATTGCAGCATAGGCTGCGTGATTCTCATGACTCAAGAAATGAATTATGCAGAGTAAAAATACCTGACTTTTGGAGTTTAGCCCCAGCCAGCAACTAAGCACCACGCAGCTGCTCGCTCACTCCCCCTACCCCGATGGGATGGGGGAGAGAATCGGAGGAGTGAGGGTGAGAAACACTCCTGGGTTGAGATAAGAACAGTTTAATAATTGAAATAAAGTAAAATAGTAATGATAATAATAACAATATAATAATAATAATAACAACAATATGCAAAGCAAGTGATGCACAATGCAATTGCTCACCACCCGCTGACCGATACCCAGACAGTTCCCGAGCAGCGATCGCTGCTCCCTGGCCAACCCCCCCCAGTTTCTATACTGAGCATGATACCACATGGATGGAATAGCCCTTTGGTCAGTTTGGATCAACTCTTCTGGCTGTGCCCCCTCCCAGCTTCTTGTGCACCTGGCAGAGCATGGGAAGCTGAAAAGTCCTTGACTAGCATAAGCAGTACTCAGCAACAACTAAAACATCAGTGTGTTATCAACATTCTTCTCCTACTAAATCCAAAACACAGCACTATGCCTGCTACTAGGAAGAAAATTAACTCTATCCCAGCCGAAACCAGGACAAAGCGTTTTCATATCTTTTGAAATAGCGAATGTGGCAGGCGCTGTTAATGCAGAGGTACTACTTGTTTTTCCCTGTCTTCTCGCTCCCTCTGAAGTTTTAAATTATTTCAGAAATCTGAAAACGGTTTTAACGTTGACGCTATTTGCACTCTACAGCTGCTTGCAGCAAAAAGTTTGTCATTTCATTGAAGTTCCAAGAAAACAGTTTAATGTTCACTCCCTCTTTTTCTCTCCTTCCCCTTTAGCCCTCTGAACCGTTGCACCTGAGTGGTTTGACTAGTAAAAGTTGAAAGAAAATCACTGTTCTTTAGGAGACACGAATTTCTTGCAAGTTAGTACCAAATTTCCAACTCTGGCTGAAAGTTCACAGCAGTTTGGCCAGAAGTTGCCCAGCGCCCATCTGTATCGCCGCCGCTCTGTTCCCCCTGTGCCCAGTAGCAGGTTGCCAAGCTGACTTGCTCAGCCAGCTCTGGAAAACCGGGCTCCGAGTGGACTTTGTCAGAACCCTTCCCAGGAGGTAGAGCTTCGCAGTAAAACGTTCACACCTCTCGGGGTCCGTGTGTCACCAAGCTCCCATTTGGATAGCCGCACCTCGGTAAATGTGTACGGTGCTGAACCTCAGCCCTGCAAACCTGGACAAGCCAGACTTGATGCACTCTGGACTGTCCCTTCGTTTCAGTGAAAGGGAGAAAGATAGCTGTGGTGGTGATGGCTAGCTGGTCAGCTTTCTGGTCCTTAAGTGGTTGGCCCAGCTATAAAGCTGAAAACAAGAATCAACCTTAGCTTTACTGATGTAAGTGCAGGCAGAAGATAAGGAGTCTTAAAAGCTGTACTGTTTTGACTGCAATGACCTTTTAAAATAACTATGTTTCCTGTGATTTTTACACAACTATTCAAGTATAAAAGACCTCTGTACCACTTTAACAGCATCTACTCTCAAGCCTGTATTTGGCAGATTAATAAAATAATCACATACTTAAACATTGTCATCAATCTGGATTAATTTTCAGGCTTGGGACGGGAGCCTGTGAAGCACTTGTAGCATCTCACTGAAGCGGGGTTTTGCTTCAGTTGCTGCTCCTTTCCAAACACTCCTCTTCGGTTTGCTCTCATTGCAGCGCCATTGGTGCTTTGCAGGCTCTATCGTCGTTACAATGGCAGATACTATTCGGTGGATATTTCAGCTGAGCTTGCTCTTTTTTTGAGTGGTATGAACTCAAGTAGAAAATCTTTAAGAGTTACTCAGCATGTAACACTCCTCATGCTCGTAAGTCACGGAATTGGGACCATAATTTACACAATTAACTTCCATCAATCATGAAATGCAGGATTTAAGTTTCCCAGGATATCAGGTCTTCTGCACAGAGTATCATTTACATTCATTTTGTATGTAACAACAGAGAGCCAGCTCTAATCTTTATCAAAACCAATAAGAAATGAAGACAAAAAGCTTCTGTCATCAAGACCTGGATTTGTACTTAAGTCCCAGGTGTGCCCTCAGGTTCTCCAGCACGATTGCTCACTGTGTAGCTACAGTGGTTTGCGACAGATGGCATGTCCAGTAGCGTTTAGGAAAGAAACCTGTGGAAAATATAGCTGTGAAAATACAGCTCGTCAGACTCTCAGGTCTTGACTTTTGGTGGGTGCAGCTGTAGAGTCTTAATTTTAGCACTTACACTTGGTTCTGTTGAAGAGAAAGAGCCGGCGCCATTGGTTAAACTTGGAAATACGCAGATGTTCTTGCACCTCCGAAACATGCAGTGAGGCTCTTTGACAATTCATGTGTTTTCTGTCAGAATTGGTCCATTGCCTTAGGAAGGTTAACCCAGCTTTGAGCTGGAAGTTCATCTTCGGTGATGCCAAAGGACTCAGAGACAATTTAGGAGCTACAGCTCAAATAGGAAAGAGGGCCTCGAGGTATTTGTGAGCTCTGAATTTCTCCCTCCCACTCAGCTGGTTTTCCAGCTGAAGTGTTCGCTTTCCCAGGCTTTGGCCCTAGTATGTTTTGATATATAAATCTCAAAAGCCTTTTAATTAAATGTGTGACTAAGTAATCACCCGGTTTTGCAGTACACCATTTAGGGATGAGCGGATTGCTGTTTAAGTCAGGGGAAGCCCAGCTGCTTCTTTCTAGCTTTCCAGAAAATTGCTTGAAAAGCTGCACGTTGCTAACGCAGTATTGCTTATAGGTTGATATATTTTTGCAGAGCATATCCTTCGTACTTACACTTTTAAATAATCCTAGCCTCCTAGAAGTTTTATTTTTACAGTAAGCACTGGTAGGAGAGTGTATTTTGATACCGGCTTAAATTTTAAGAGTTTAGTCGATCTGGTCTGTTTCTGTCATGAAAGATCTGCTTGCATATACCATAAGGTTTGAGAGTGCTATCATTGTGCATGGAAGAAGTTTTGGTTTTGTTGAATAAAAATGTCAGGAAGTATTTTCCTTGAACTCTGTACATTGATCTTCAGACAGAAGGCAAAGATTCATTTTTTGGACAGATCTTTTTTAACATTCTCAGTGTAATCTTGAATTGTTTTTGTTTTCGCACTTCATTCTTTTTCATTTTAACTTAAAAACATCGAACTCTGTTGCTGGAATGTGTTCTGTTGAGCCAAAGCATTGCATCTGTTGCTGCAAGCTAACGAGAAATGGAATTATTTCTGCACAAGCCTCATCTAGCATTAGAACGTGTTTTTTGATGCAGGAACAGCCATCAGAGGGGTTGTTTGGTTTATTGTTAAATATTTTTATGTAATAACTTTTGAGCTCTGAAGAATTTTCCCCAAGTTTCCTCACACATATGCAACTTACCTAAATTGCATTGTTCAGAAATACTCATATTTTTACACTGAAACTTCTGAACAATTTACTGCTGTTTCTGTGACCCCACCAGTCAGAATCTGTTCTAGCATTCCCCGCAGTAGCTCACATTGTCCAGAACTGCACCTTTGTGTTGCTAAGCTCACTGTGTACAGTATCCAAAGTAGACTTTGACGTTAAATCTAAAGTTTTACACCTAGAAACATTGATTGTGTGCATTTTAATGAAAAACAGTGCAAGTTGCACTTTTCTGACAGTTCTGTGTTTAATTAGGGTATCTAGAGCTGCTTGTTTATCTCTGGCTTTCTTTGTCCTGTATTTCTGGCTCTTACAGCATCACCTGCATTGTAAAAATTTTGCAGTCTTTGGGAGTCAGATGTGCGCAATCCCAATACTGAACTGTGCTTTATGGGACGCAGTAGTCAATATAGCTATTCTTGCTTGCTCCCCATACTTTGTTTAAAAAAAAAAACCAAACCACAAACTCTTAGCTCTCGATCACCCAAAGACTAAATTTAGTTTCTGAAGCTATATATTTATGAAAACCTGTGGCTTTAATTATTGTTGCAGATTATACATCTTCTTTTTTTTTTGTCTCTCCCCAGGGCCGATTACTGGAAATCTCAGCCAAAAAAATTCTGCGATTACTGCAAGTGCTGGATAGCAGACAACAGACCTGTACGATGGTCTACCGTACTACGTCAATGATTCTGAAATACTAGGAATTTGAATTACAGACTTTTAACATCACTTTTGATGCTAATCTCTTGATGCATGAAATTTGTCGTTTAAAAATGCCTTTGTAATACTTGTGATATTTCAAATGTATTACGTGAGAGCCAGACACACCATACAAGATGGTGTGTGCTGTTCTACTTGGCAGTACAGATAAGAACTGAAATATCCGACCTGCTTTTTCTTCAGATTCTGTAACTTCACATTCGATCTGTCTTGAAACTTTGTCCGCGCCTGTTCCTAGCCTTCATATGCAAGTAGAAGGCAAAACCTGGCATACGTGCTGTTTATATCTGATAGGCCTGGTACCGCCAGCGCTCTAAGCATTTAAAGCAGGTTTCTTTCATTTCACACAGCCCACAGAAATGTTACTGGGTTACAGAAAGGTGTTTCTGACTTGCAGATGCCTTTTGCAGACTACTAGACCCATTGGTTTCTCACTTAGAAATGAGTTTTGCATTCCTGACTTGATGCCAGGGGTACTCCTGGAGCTGAGCTTCATCTGGCTTACAGTTAGATACCTGCAGTTCGGAATGACAAGTGTGAGCTAATTGGTTTAGGTTTCTTCTTGTAGTCAGTGAAGAGAAATACATGTTAAAGGGGAGGATTTGGGTAAGGTATAAACTCTGTCTTTAAATGAGATGAATCATCCTCTCCGCATCGGTTTGCGCAAAGAAATTCTGGGGTTACTAGGTCAGGCACCTAACGTTTGAACACCTAAATGAGCTCAGATATTTTTTGTGAGAACCACATGAGGACTTCTGCTGTTGTACCTGTAGAGCTTCTGAACTCCTTCCAGTTCCTGCTGGCTTCAGTCTTTCTGGCAGCTTTTTGGCTTGCAGACTGCTCTGTTGTCCTTAGTTACCCAACTCTCCCACCTTGCCTTTTCCTCTCTCTCTCTCTCTCTCTCTCTCTCTCTCTCAGATTTGTGGACCTGCAGCCTAGTTTTAAGTTCATGGGATATTTGTGGAGCGTAGGATAATCTAATTAAGGACAGTAGCTAATATTTGGAACTCTAAATAAGCCATATGGTTTTTAAAAGTTTGTATGAAAACTGAGAGGGTAAAAAAAAAAAAAAATTCAAGATATGATACTTGGGAGGATAGCATGGAGAGGGAGCCCAGACTCCCTGTTACTTGTCTCTGATCTGTGCGCTGAACAGTATTATTTGAAAACATTTAGATCTTACAAATACAGACTATGAAATTTTATGAAACCATTTTGGAGCGTTACTGATTTTTCATAATTTTTATGTTGAGTGTTTCTCAGTGTTCCTGAATTCTTATAGCCAGTTTATAGCTATGCTGTTTGCTGTAAGTATTTTCAGAACAGGTTGCATTTGTACTTGTTCAACTAAGTTTAGTCTAACTAAATTTTAACTAACTAAATTAACTACATTAAAATTGTATAATACATATTATTTTTCTTGGTTTTTCTCGCTTTTAAGAGCATTGAGTTTCATGAAAGAGGAAAGAATCATAAAGAAAATGTGGCAAAAAGAATTAGTGAGGTAACTCAAATATCTTATTTGTAAAAATACTTATTTTAAAAAATATCTGTTTCATTATGACACTTGTTTAATTTATTCTCTTGGGGGTTTTGTTGTGTTTTAGATTAAAAAGAAAAGCTTGGAAAAAGCGAAAGAAGAAGAAAACATGTCAAAAGAATTTGCAGCAATGGAGGAGGCTGCAATGAAAGCATATCAAGAGGATTTGAAAAGGCTTGGAATTAAGCCAGGTAGTTCATATGGCTGCCAAAGGATTAAAAACAGAATTGAAAGAATATTGAATGGGAATGTTTTTTCTTAAATTAGGTTTTAGGAACATGAGAGGAGGCCTCCAGGGCTGTTTCCTTATGGTTTTTTTTTCAAAAAAGAGGGGGGTGCCTGCAAATTGCCAGTAGTAGAAGTTGCAGTACAGAATGTTTTCAGCTATGGTGTCCTCTGGTCCATGGAACAATCCAATTTGGAGCAGAAAAATTAAACAATGTGGTAACAAAAAGTAGGCTGTAGTTGGTGCTTTGAATCAGCAGTGCCGCTTCCCTTAGTTAATTTTATGTTTCACTTTTGCCAGTTGGAGACAAAAATTCCTGTTGAGTAGGAGAGGTTGGGTTCCCACTGGTGTCAAACAGTGGAGATGAGAATCTCCTACTCAGCTTGCAGTTCAGCAAGTACCTTTCTTCTGTCCGTGTGAAGACATATTATCCTTTAAAAAAAGTTTGTAGTTTCAAGCTCCTGTAGAAGCTATCTTTTTCATAACTTTCTTAGTTTCATTTTTGTTGTTGTCTAGTTAGAGCTCATTGGTTCTTACTGTTTTTCTCTTTATGTTACTTGTCATTTGATATTTGCACTTTCTTATCACACTATAGTATTGCTACAATGCAAGATTCTTTGAATATAATCTTGTAAGTTTGCCTGCTATGAGTGTAATACTAATGAGTGAAAATACTCATAAGAACAAAATTTCTTATTTGCTGTTGCTTAAGAGTGACTAATATTTAAGCTCAGATTATTACTCTTTTTTTAAAAGAGAGTATTATTTTCTTTAAGATGATGTAGGTCCCAGTTCAACACAGAGTAAAACACAGAGTACCACAGTGGAAACTAAAGGAAAGAAAGAAAAGAAGGAGAAGAAGGAAAAGAAGGAAAAGAAAGAAAAGAAAAAAAAGACACCTCAGGACACCTCAGTGCCATCAAAAATTGAAACGAAGGAGTGGGTGCAAGGATTTTCTCCCGAAGGCTATACATATTACTACAACACAAGAACAGGAGGTAAAAACTAGTGAGGAGCAAATGCAGATAGAGTTTTTGGGTATAAATGAGAAAAGACTACCTGCATTTCTTTACTCTTCTGCTCTCTCACTGGTAAGCTGATTATTAAAATGTGAGCAATTAGGTGGAGTTTTGATATTTAACATTCAATGCTTAGGCATCCAGAACTTCAGACTGGTTTTGCTGTTTGTTAATAATGGGAGAATGCAGTAATTCCAGTTTCTGGAAATGTTTAGCCTTTCAGAGGTTAAGTATACAAAAGACAGCTGTGTTCTTCCTAAAGAAGCTTTCTTATCAGGAATGTGAAATAAATTGATTGTGCCCAAGTAAATGAGAGCGGTTATGGATTGCTGTCTGATTGTTTCTTTCCACATTTAAAGGCTTTATCTAACTGACTGACTTCTGTTGAGGAGCTATGTGTTATGATCTACTTTAGAGCATAAAAGCAACCCTCTTATATGATTAATGAGACTGTTACAAACTGTTTCTTATAAATTTAAGGATTGACATTAGTATTTACCATACTCTTTACTCATACAAGATAACTTCCAAAAGGTAAAAATCTCGTGTGTTTAGTTTCCTCTGGCCTATGCTACAATTTAAAAAACAAACACCTTTTTTTGTACCAAAATTCCAGTATCTGTGTATCAGCAATAGTTTAATAGAGTCTGGAAGGTGGTTCATCCCAGTAAAGCCAACTGTAATTATGATACTTCAGTTTATTGTTCAGACCACAGTTTGAGCAAGGATGATTTATATTCCAATGAGGTGTATGTATATTACTTGTTCATATGTGTGCGCACATCAGTGTCATACCCTTTAGATCTGTTTTTTCTAAATATTATTAAACATAAACAGGATTGAATGATGGGTGAAATATGTTTTTGTTTTTCAAGAATCACAGTGGGAGAAACCTAAAGGATTCCAAGGCAACTCTCAAAACTCACAAACGGTAATCAAATACTATTATTCATACTTTTCTTTGTCCCTGTGAACACTTACCAGAAATAAGCTAAGCAATTTGCAAGTCTTCTGATTGCAGAAGATAAATTGTTTGCTCTTAGTAAACCTAGGAAAATATAGTTTGAATATATAGAATGTTTTAAGATATACTTGATGAAAAGTGAAATTTTCCTGTACAAAATTTTTTTGGCTAATTGGCTTATCAAGGGAAGAGAAGTGATGGTGGTGGTTGTGTTTGGTGGTTGTGTTTTTACACAATAGCTTTTTTGATGCTTCAGCCTATAAAATTGAAAGCTTTTGGGAAATTCTGAATAATTCTCTTCAACCCTTTGTGAATGAAAGGCAATTAAAAAAATAAAACTCATCAGAAATAGTTAAGACTCCTTTATCTTAGGAAACATTGAGACTGCATTGTCAGTAAAAAATTAAGAGTGCCTATTTTTTGTGTTTCCTTTAGGATATGGTTGTGTGATAATTTGTCTTTTTCATGGATTTCTTAAGGTCATGGAACCTTTTAGAATATTACTTTATTTTCCTTATTTAAGGCACCAGAAAACTTGCGGAATAGTCCAACGACAGAAAGATTTCTTCTTATTATTAATAGGCTTTCCCCCGATACTTACCACTCCAGGAATTTTGTGCTTCACAACATTAAAAATAGGATTTTTACAACACTCCTGTGAAGTAATGTTATGTTTCCCCATTTTCAAGATAGGTGTCATAGGTACAGTATGATTTAAAGTCGGTATTGTTTGCAAATGTTGGATTTTATGTTAGCAATCAAAAAAGCCTGGCTTTTTCAGAGTGCTGACATTCTGTAGCTCTATATTGTTGCATCTGAGAAGGCAGCCTATGCTTGCTACTGGGTTACTTACAGTCAGAGGAGAAAATGGTTATAATTGTGTATATTTTTAGGCAATTGAATCAATTCACAAAAGATACATGAAGTTTTGTCTGTATTCCATCTCTTGTTAAGACAGTGTTTTATCTCAAAAATGCAGGCTTTTTCCATCCAGTGTTCATTCCCAAGAGACTGCACGCTTCATGTCAGAGCTGCCCATCCTACTCTGCCTGATTGCGGTTTTGCACAACTTGTTATCCAGTACTTCAACTTCATCTTTTCAGTCAAAGCGTAGCTTTGCAATATTTATAAGCAAGTCTTACTGTAGCCTTCTACTGAAAGAGGTGGTCCTGCGACTAATCTTGTATGGTCCTTGGTGCATATTTGCCCTGACAGTGAACTAGTTCAGGGAGCGAAGACATCAGAGTTTAGGTTAGTGCTTTGTAGGCTTATGTCCTTGCATCAGCTCTCTGGGTAATCAGAGAAATGCCAGTGCGGGGAGAGCAGATGGAGAAGAGAAGGAGCTCCCTTCTTGGCAACAATTTGAAGTTAGCTTATCTCAGCTATATCATAAACATGCACCTTCAGCCTCGGGTATCTCTCTAATGCCACATGGCTGTATTTTGCCATTCCTCCCTCACCCTGCTTGGTGACTTTGTGGTGTCTTGAGTTATTTTCGCTATTGCTAAAAACAAGCATTTGATTGCTCCCTTATTTAGTCTGAGCTAAAGATACTGGGAACATTCCAGATCTCTAACAAGGACTCACACTGCCCAGAAATTAAAGGGCATGCTCGCAATATGTAGTGCAAGTGAGATTCACAGGCCCTCCTTGTTTTACAGCACGTTAGGTTGCTGCTCAGGCTTCCTAAGAGGTGGAGAGAACAGAGTAATGAAAAGGCATGTTGAAGACAACCTACAACTTCAGTTAGATTGGCATGATGCATGTTAGCATTTATGTAGTAGGATACTCAGTGTGCCTAATGTCAAATACCTGCTGAAAACCTCTAAGAACCAGGTCTAAAATGTTCAGGATCTAACTCTAACAAAAAGGGTAGGTTATACTTACAACTAGTCTTTTGTTCTCTTTCTACTTAAAATAAATTTGCCTTTTGCTTCTTTTGTTGAAACTAGCACACTGATACTTTGGAGAGCAAGACCTTGAGGAAACTTGCTCACTGAAGGCTTTCTTGCTTTTTGCCTGGCATGAACCCTACTGATAGAATTTTTCCTTTTCATATACAGCTTTCTACAGAGCAGGTGTGAGGACTTTAACTCCTGATTTTCTTGTGTTTTAAAAAAAACCCAAAGTTTTAATAGCGTATTAAGCGAATGCATAGGTATGTGTGTGCAGAAGCCTATCTGGGGGTGTGTGTGTATATGAATACACAGAGACATTTATTAATGCAAAAGTCATGTATGGTGAAGCTGCATAGAAGTTCTGTCCAGTATAGGGGAATGGGCAGTATTAGTACTTAAGGTGCAGTGAAGTAGTGTATATGTAAGTGTTGATAAAAATAAGATTCTTAAGAAAGATGTTAAGTCATGCGTAATGACTGGTTATCTAGCTGTGGCTGATTCTGCAAAACATATTTATTTAATTACACATCCACAAAGACATACCAACAACTTTTGCCACATTTCATATGTATTTATAAATCAGTAGGGAAAAACAGTGCTTTGTTGAAATCGGTGCTTTTCTAGATAAGTAAATTCATGGCATGCATTCATGCAAAGTTTGCTTCTTCAGTATTTTTGGTGAAGATCTATTATGGAATAAATTTTAGAAGTTTTGGGTTGGTTTGCTTATGTTTAATTTGTGATAGTGTTTGTTGGTACTATTTTCTATAGCCCTCACAGAACCCTGAGTCTTCCAGAGACATTTTTTCTTGGTGTCTACTTAAGACAATGACAAAACCAGGAAATGTCAAGTTCAGGTGTGAAAATAAAAACACTGGAAAATAAAAAACATGTAAAATAATGGCCTTTATGGCTTTTATGATAATTTGAACTGTATGGCAACCTTTACTATACTGCCTCATACGAATTATCCACTGTTTGAAAAAATTGTCCGTGTGACTTTGCAGTACTTTAAAGGTAAGCAGTTCAATCTCAGTTGAGTCAGAGGGAATACTTTCTAACAACTTCAGGGGTTCAAGCTTTAAAACAGTAAAATTACATGAACAAAAAATACTCAAGGGTTGAATACTCTTATAAGTGGTGCTTTGGCTGATCCTTAAAACTCTCTTTTTTAATTAGCTCCTGTATCTTTTTCTCAGGCAGCAGAGTGGGTAGAAGGTGTCACTGAAGATGGTCATACCTATTACTATAACACACAAACAGGAGGTAAGGAGAGCTTGTTTTCCAGTTAAGCTCTGTTTCAGAAGAGAGGATTTTCAGAGCAGCATTTTATTTTGCAAATAGCTGCATTTTAAGGCCATTACTAAGTTTTGTATTTTTTAAGCTGTTACCTTATTGAAATGTACTTGCTGCTTAAGTCAATGCTGGCTTTATAGCTGTATTGTCATTGGGTATGCATTTGTGCTTCGTATGTTTTTTTTAGACATTCAACTTATAACTCTAAGTTCTTCTTCTATACATATATATTGAAATTATAGTTTGGAAACCAGAAAGGGGCAGGATTTTGTTTTGACAGGTATGTAGGTCTGAATAAGAATCTCCTAAACTTTTCCTCTTGCTGACATAGCATTGATAAGAGAGTCCAGAATCTTACCTCCTACTTTTCGTTGTTTTTTTCCCTA